TGTGTGTGTGTGTGTGTGTGTGTGTGTGTGTGTGTGTGTGTGTGTGTCAAAGAGCCAGCCATTGAGTTCCTGTCAGAAACAGTCCCTGTTCCTCTTACTAGGGAACCCACTTGGATACTGAGCTGCTATGGGCTTGGTTGGAGTATCAATCTCAGAAAAGACCCCTGTGCCCAGATTTTTTGGTTCTATTGTTATCTTTGTGGAGCTTCTGTCCTCTCCAGGTCTTACTATCTCCCCCTTCTTTCATAAGATTCCCTGCATTCTGCCCAAAGCTTGGTTATGAGTCTCAGCATCTGCTTTGATACTCTGCTGTGTGGAGTCTTTCAGAGTTCCTCTGTGTTAGGCTCCTGTCCTGTTTCCTGTTTTCTTCTCTTTCCAGTGTCCATCCCATTTGTCTTTCTGAGTGAGGATTGATCATCTTACCCAGGGTCCCCCTTCTTGCTTAGCTTCTTTAGGTGTAGAAATTTTAGTATGTTTATCCTATATTATATGTCTAATATCCACTTACAAGTGAGTATTACTGTGTGTGTATTTCTACTTCTGGGATACCTTACTCATGATGATCTTTTCTAGATCCCATCAAATTTCATTATTTCCTTGTTTTTAATTGCTGAGTAGTATTCCATTGTGTGAATGCACCACACTTTCTGTATCCATTCTTCCATTGAGGGACATCTGGGTTGTTTCCAGGTTCTAGCTATTATGAATAAAGCTGCTATGAACATGGTTGAGCAAATATCCTTGTTGTGTACTTGAGCATATTTTGGATATATGCCTAGGAGCCAGATCTTGAGGAAACACTATTCCTAATTGTCTGAGAAAGTGACAGATTGATTTCCAAAGTGTTGTAAAAGTTTACATTCCTACTAGCAATGGAGGAGGGTTCCCCTTTCTCCACAACCTCTCCAGCATGCATTGTCACTTGAGTTTTTGATCTTAGCCATTCTGATGGCTATAAGGTAAAATCTCAGGGTTGTTTTGATTTGGATCTCCCTGATGACTAAGGACACTGAACAATTCCTTTAAGTGTTTCTCTGCTATTCTATATTCCTTTACAGAGAATTCTCTGTTTAGCTCCATACCCCATTTTTTAATTGTATTGCTTGATTTGTTGATGTTTAACTTCTTGAGTTCTTTAAATATTCTGGATATCCGCCCTCTGTCAGATATGGGTTTGGTGAAGATGCTTTCCCAGTCTGTAGGCTGTCGTATTGTTCTGATGACAGAGTTCTTTGCTTTATAGAAGCTTTTCAGTTTCATGAGGTCCCGTTTATTGATCATTGCTCTTAGAGCCTGAGCTGCTGGTGCTCTGTTCAGGAAGTTGTCTCCTGTAAAGCATAATTTTTTAAAGCACTTTGTTCATAACTTCATGAGTCATACTTATTCAAAATGGGGAAGTTTCCTTTTTCACAAAAACAGTGAGCTCTGAAGTGAGCAGCCTACCCTAAAGATTGTTGATGGACAGGAGTGCTATACTGTGAGCAACACCAAAAGCTTACTCACATAATTCACTGTTTCTATCGCCCACATTTAAAAGTAGACACATAGTGGCTGGGATGGTAGCGCCTTGTTTGGTAGAGCACTTGTCTGGCATGTATGAGGCTATGGGTTCCATCCCCAGCATTGATAAACTATGCTGGGGACAAGTGCTTGTAATCTCAGCACTCAGTAGGTAGAAGCAGGAGAACCAGAAGTTCAGGGCCATCCTTGGCTACATTGTGAGTTTGGGGCCAGGCTGGGCTACATGAGATTCTATCTCAAAACAACAACAACAAAAAAGCCCCCCCCCAAAAAAAACAAAAACAAAAACAAAAACAAAAAACAAATACGTGTGTAGTTACCACCGTGTTATACTCTACCCCACTGATGGAGATGAGGCTTATACACTCTTGGAAATTTGTGTGCTATTTCTTTTATGAGGGCAAAAACTACACTAATAATCTTTTTAATTAAAGGAGGTTCTTATTTACATCCGTGTTGTAAATCTCCTTGGTGCAAACATATGCTTAGAGAGGAGATTAACTTGAGCGTCCATTCATTAATTACAGAGATTAGGAAGTGCCTGTCTGACCAGTTTCTGAAGGCTGAATGAACTACAGATCATCAAATACAGCAGCTCACAAAGAAGATCCGGTTGCTTTGGGGGTAAGTAATGCCAAATTACCCTTCCGAAGAACATCTCCCCGGTGAAGATACCCACTAAGAATCCAATTGATTTTAAATATGCTTATAGCCCTCATGGTTTCCGGTGACCTAGATCTACAGGCAGCACCTGTCTGTAGTTTGATGACAGTGCTGGACGCGGGTTAAGCTGGCAGATGGGCAGCCCTGCATCTTTGCATCTCTATAAACAAGCACAGCTCAGGTCTTCGGGATGCTATCCTGGAACCTTTCCTTTTAGTCCATCATGTGGCCTATCACAGGACATCCCACGATGTTTGAATTGGAAGAGATTGCAACAAATATTTTTGTCATACTGTGCAAGCCATTTGGGGTACAAAAAAAAGTCCTTATTGAACAAATACTATACTGTGTCGTTCTCCATCCGGTGGAAGTCTAGAACTCAGCTGTCAGATTCCAGATGAAGAACAGAGCGACCCGAGTATTGGAGTTCCATTTTTCTCAGAAAATGTCTAGAGCACTTTAGGGCAAGGCCCATGTGCTAGGCAAGGCTTTGGTCTAACCAGGGCAGGTGGGAATGAGTTTTCCAACTGGGTGTTATAGATAGCCGTTTAAAACAAGATTGCTGGTATCAGGTAGTAGAAATTCAGGAGTTCCAGAACTCAGATCTGATACTGATGTGTTATAGACCATTAGCAGGGATGCAGGCAAGAGCCTGTGCCTCGTCAGCTTGCAGCAAAACACAGGCCTAGTGTGCAGGAGGGCAGGTCTGGTGAGGTGCAAGCCTGGGAAGCGGCTCTGTGGCTGCCAAGGCAGTGCCTCACAAGGTGGAAGCTCACTGCGGCTGGCATCATATGGTCGACCAAACAGCAGTCAAGCCTCTGGCAATCCAGCAGCTCTCAGCAGTCAGGCATGTCCAGCCAGCCTAATTGGCAACCAAACCCCGGGAGCTCAGCACTGAATCTCCAGGGAGGAGGGAAGCCTTCCCTGCTTAGAATAAATGATGAATCTCAGGCGGCCATGGTGGAAGGTTGATGGTAACATGTAACATTCAGCATGCACATTTATTTCTTGTGAAATCAGGGACTTACAAACCTTGAGCAGTGGGAGGGATTCTAGAGTGAATGTGTTTGACTTGCTGGGGTCAGGAGTACTGGGAATACTTGATTTACATGTAGTGGGACAGTACCTCATTTATATGCAGTAGCACTGTCCCATCACAGGAAGGAGAACATAGAACTTAATTATCCTATGGGTGTGGGGAAGAGCTGTAGGTTCAATTGAAGGGCATTGCTGAAAACTAAGCTTTCCTTGGTATAGGGTGGGGTATTTCCAGGAATTCGCAGGTTTTCTTACCTGGAGAGGGTCTGATCTGTAATCTTCCCTGAGGGCTATACGACCCTTCTTCCAAGATCTGGAGTTACCAGATCAGGTGGAGAGAGAAAAGGGAGTTCCTTGTAACAGACCAAGCTCAGCTGTGTATCACAGTATACTGCAATAAAATGTAGAGAAAGAAAAGCAGTCCTTACACCACGGTGACGGTGAAGGGAGGCTTCTGGACTCCTTGAGAGACTCAGACTTGCCCCCAGTGCCCTGGATTTGAGAACTGCTGGGCTAGTAGTTAGCTCCGTGGTCTCGTCAGTGTTGTCATCACTTGTGTGCATAATATTCTGGTTGCATAATAACCTCATAATGCTGGTGTGCTGTATTAGAAAGTGAGGCAAAGAAATTGCTGAAGACAAGTGAGGAAGGTTCTAACTCTTAGAGTAACGGAGGCTCTTCTCTTTCAAGAAGCTTTTCTGGGATTAGTGTGATGGCTTAGCAGGTAAAGACATGTGCTGCATAAACCTGGTAACCTGAGTTCACACATGAAGAACCCACATGAAGGTGGAAGGAGGGAAGTGATCCCACAAAGTTTCTCTCTGACCTCTGACCCTCACCATGATGCATGTGCGCATCATGCATTGTGGGCATGTGTGCCCACAAATACAGACAACAGCAATGACTTTTTAATTGCAAAAGAAGCTTTGCTAATACAGAATATATTTATTTTCAACTGCATGCTCATAGTATTTAATCCACTGTGGTAGAGTACATGTAACGTAACATTTACCACTCATGACATAGATGGTCTTGTGCAGTGGTCACCCACTCTCTAGTTGCATGACATTTGTATCCCTCCCGAAGTTAACCTTGTCTTCAGTAAGCAGCACATACACACACCATCTCCACAAGCCCATATTCTGGCGGCCACCAATCTACTCACTGTCACTGTAGACTATCAGACTGGCTGTTTCCTGTGGGTGGGATCATGCATCATGTAGTTTAGTATGTCTAGTCTTTTTTCTTAGCGTAATGTCTTCTATATTCTTGTTTGTTTTGCTATAGCTAGGCTACATTTTGTTTATGTATCCATCTATAAATCTGTTGGAACTGTCAGTGTAGACCAGGCTGGTCTATCTGCCTGCTTCTGCCTGCGACTGCTGGGATTAAGAGCATGTGCAACTATGCCTTGCTTGATGAAGTCTTTTCATCTCTTGATTGCTGTGAGGAGTGCCTGGTGAGCATGTGTATACCAACATTTGTTTTAATACCTGTTGTTAATTTTCTTAAAGATTTATTTATTTTATGTGTATAAATGTTTTGCTTATATGTATGTGCCTACCAGTGCACCATGTGCTTGCCTGGTACTTGAAGAGGTTGGAAGCAGGAGCTGGAGAGATGGCTCAGCAGTTAAGAACATTGCCTGCTTTTCCAGAGATCCCGAGTTCAGTTCCCACCACATAGTGGCTCACAACCATCTATCCTGGGATCTTATGACCTCTTCTATCATCTGTCATGCAGGTGCACGTGTAGATGGAGCACTCATGTACATAAAATAAATAAATAAATCTTAAAAAATAAAAAGGTCAGAAACAGGCATCAGATCTCTTGGAACTGGGGGTTTTGCTATTTTTTTTTTTTCGTGTGTGTGTTTGCTGGGGATCAAATCCAGGTCTTGTACATGCTAGACAAGCTCTGTATTCTACCACTGAACCACATTTCCAGGCCTGAATTTAGTATTTTTATGAAAAAAAAGTGTCTTTTTAACTAGTTCATAAGGACAAAATTATACATACTAATAGAACATTATGTATCATTTATACACATTCATATTGTATAATTGTAACCAGCCTTTTTGACTACTTTATTGAGTTCTTATATTTACCAGTCTCTTCCACTGCAATCCCTTCTAACCCCCCAACACTATGTAAGTGAGAAAGAATGTTAGAGGGAAAAAGAGGTATAGACCTCTTTGGACTACTTCCTACTAGGGAGGATGGGGCAAGTGCAATCTCCATCCTCAGAGTATCTCCAACCAGCAACCAGCCATCCAGCAATAGCAAAAGCAGCAGCAGGGAGAGCAGCCACCGCCACAGGCCTTCTGGGGGCTCTCGCACTTATACCCTCTCGAGAGTCCCCAGAATTCCAAACATAAACTGTGCAGCTGGCAAAAATCACACTCCTTCTAGAGCATGAGACAAAACATAGTTAGCGGCTGTGGACAGTCTGAAGCAGCCCCATATCCCACACCTGGATTAAAACAAAAACATATTCACATAACATAACTGGGCTTTTAACGAAACCAAACTCCCCACCACATGTAATATTTAAATCAGTTTAAAAATAATTGCTGGGTTGGAGAGGTGGCTCAGAGGTTAAGAGCACTGTCAGCTGTTCCTGAGGTCCTGAGTTCAGTTCCCAGCAACCACATGGTGGCTTACAACCATCTGTAATGAGATCTGGTGCCCTCTTCTGGCAAGCAGGCAGAACATCGTATACATAATAAATAAATAAATCTTAAAAAAAAAACTTAAATCTTTAAAAAAATAATAATAATTGCTGAGAGCTGGACATGGTGGTACAGTACTGCCTTCAGTCCCAGCACTCAGGAGCCAGAGGCAGGTGGATCTCTGTGATTTCGGGGCCAGCCTGGTCTACAGAGAGTCTTCCAAGACAGCCGGGGCTCTGTTACACAGAGAAACCCTGTCATCAATGAATGAATGAATGAATAATATTGATGGGCTGGAAAAATAGCTAAATTGGTAAGTGTTTGACACACAAGCATGAGGACCGAAACTTAGTTCATAGCATCTAGAGAAAAACTTGGGTATGGTGGCACTTGCCTACAATCCCAGTTTTGGGGAGGTGGACAGAGGCAGAGCCCAGCCTAATTCCCTAAGTCTTGGGGAGAGACCCTGTCTTGAAAAGCAAAGTAGATGGCTCCTGAGGAATGACACCTAAGGTTGGGGTGTCACACTCTGGCATTCACATACATACACACACATGCACATGTACCTTCACACATGAACACATGTAAACACAAACATGCACACATAAAGTAATTCTTAGTTGTTTGTTGTTGTTGTTGTTGTTTAATTCAAACTCTCTCTGTGTAACCCTGGCTGTCCTGAAACTCTATAAAGCAGGTTGGCATTGATTTGCCTGTCTCTGCCTCCAGGTGTGTGTACTACCACTGCCTGGCTCTTCTTAGGTTTGTTTTGTTTTGTTTTGTTTTTAAACAATTCAAATACAAGAACTACTTTTTTTTTTTTCTTAAGATTTATTTATTTATTAATTATAGTGTTCAGCCTGCACACCAGAAGAGGGCACCAGATCTCACTATGGATGGTTATGAACTATCATGCGGTTGCTGGGAATTGAACTCTGGACCTTTGGAAGAACAGCCAGTGTTCTTAACCTCTGAGCCATCTCACCAGCCCCCCCCCTTCTTTTTTTTAACCAAAAAAATTATTTTTTCCCTCTGATTCTATCCCAGTTGTTCCCAAATATTTGTTTCATTGATTTCCTTTCCACATTTAAAAAAAAATTATTAATTACACTTTATTCACTTTGTATCCCCCATAGTCCTCTCCCTCCTCCCCTCCCAATCCCACCTTCCCTTCCTATTCTCCACACATGCCCCTCCCCAAGTCCACTGATGGGGAGGTCTTCCTCTCCTTCCTTCTGATCCTAGTCTATCAGATCTCATCAGGAGTGGCTGCATTGTCATCTTCTGTGGCCTGGTAAGGCTGCTTCTCCCTCAGGGGGAGGTAATCAAAGAGCAGGCCAATCAGTTCATATCAGAGACAGTCCCTTTTCCTATTACTATGTAAGCCACTTGGACACTGAATTGCCATGGGCTACATCTGTGCAGGGGTTCTAGGTTATCTCCATGCATGGTACTTGGTTGGAGTATGAGTCTCAGGAAAGACCCCTGTGCTCAGATTTTTTGGTTCTGTTGCTCTCCTTGTGGGGTTCCTGTCCTCTCCAGATTCTACTATTTCCCACTTCTTTCATAAGATTCCATGCACTCTGCCCAACAGTTGGCCATAAGTCTCAGCATCTGCTTTAATAGTCTGCAGGGCAGAGCCTTTCAGAGGCCCTCTGTGGCAGGCTCCTAACTAGTTTCCTAGTTTTGATTTAGCTGCTGAACCTATATTGACAGCTACAATCCTAGGCCCAAAAGAATGAAGCAGGCGAAGGAAAAAAGCCAAATGCACACAGTTAATCCCCCTTTTAAAAAAGACATGTACCACACACACACACACACAAAGAAAGGAAGAAGGAAAGAATCACTGCACTGATGTTGGACCTAACAAAATTCAGCGTGTGTGTTCTCTGCACAGGCAACACACCTCCCGGCTGACCGCAAGGGATGCTGTTACTTGGTAGCCAGCTGAAACCCGCGCTTCCTCAGAAGGCCTTGTGTAGGCTCTGGACTATAATGGGGAAACTGCAGAGCAAACTCAGGCACAGCACGTACAAATACAGGTAGATCGCACCCTGGGGTCCCCAGTTTCCTCATTATGCTTTAGAATTCGGTGCTGAAAAAAGAAGGTGCATATCGGTGGTCTTCCCTGCACGCCTGGCTTGGTGGACGGTTTTAGAGAGAATCCAGCTCTGCTGAGGTAGGCATAGGCAGATGGTCTCATCACCATCTAGAACCCCCAATGCACACTTAGGGGTCCTTTATCTTTTGGAGTCACTTCTAATGAGATCAAATACTTTTGTCTTCAGGATTCCCCTTCATCAGATTTCAATAACTCAGTCCTTCTGGGTGTTTCCCAAAGAAACACCACCATTTATTTCCGAGCATTTTCCAAACAAACAGTGGGTTTCTTTCCTGTGGGTCACAGCCTGGCCTGAATTGCTATCATTACCCACATTCTTCTGCCCCCTTCCCCTCTGTCCATTCAGCGGACCTCATCTTCCATCCTCTCTGTAGCAGGCCTGATGGAATTATAGAAGAGAGAGTCCAGACTAAAGTTTCCCAAGAATACAGCCCTGCTCATGTGGACACCGTCTCTGTGGTTGCTACTCTGAACTCAGACCTTTGTGTCTCTGGAGGAAAAGACAAGGTGAGGTTTCCAGTGCTTCCTAAGAAAGCAGCTCACGGCAGGAGAAGGAAGCGGTCCTGAGAGAGTCTAACACTGCATTTCTACATCACAACAGGGCTCCAAATGAAAGGCTGGAGTCTAAGCCTGGCTCTCCCTCTTGCTATTACTGTAGGCAAGTCTTTACATTTTCGGAGCTTTGGTTTCCTAGTCTGTTACACGGATGTATAACAACACCTGTGTCCTAAGGCAGTCATGAGGGTTCAGTGCCTCACCGTATACCAGGCCGCCCACATGCGTTATAAATGAGGGCGTTATGTTCCACCCACCTCGTTCTTAACAGTAACACGTAGACAGGAAGACTCAGTCAGCCAATAATGTTCCAGTCGCTTTTCATTTTGTTTTCACAGCTCACGCTGGTATGCACCGACTCTTTCTGCTTTTGTCTTCCCTCTTGTCTCCACTCTACATTTAACGGCTTTCTGTCCTTGTAGTAGGAGCTAACTTGGCAGTCGTTGCTAGTAAATTGCAGCAACAATGCACTGCTGGTTATTCCTGAAGGGAATAATATTAATAATGCCCCCTGTTTCCAACAGACTTTCAGAATCACCCAGTTTCACCATTTGTAAGACGCATTTACTTTAGATGTTCTTACTTCAAATTAGGATACACTTAAGTAGCAATGTCTTGTCTTTTTTTTTTGGGGGGGGGGAGTGAGACAGGGTTTATCTGTGTTAGCCTTGGCTGTCCTGGACTCCTTTTAGACCAGGCTGGCCTTGAACTCACAGAGATCTACCTGCCTCTGCCTCACCTAGTGCTGGGGTCACAGGCGTGCACCACCATGCCCAGCTGCAGTGTCTCATCTTATATCTGTATTATTTTATATTATGCCTGTGAGAGGCAGGCAGGGCAAGGACTATCCACTGTGCTATGTAGACTGGGGACCTGATAGGTCCAGTGCAACAGCCAGTGGGCCATGCAGCAGTTGCTCCTTTCTCTGTCAGTGAACTGTAGACACTCAGCAAGAAAATGCTTCAAGATCCTGCCCAGAGGGGCATAGGAGAAGAGGAGGGAGGAGGGCAGGATTGGGAGGGGTTGGGGAAGGGGCTACAGCTGGGATACAAGGTGAATAAACTATAATTAATAAAAATTAAAAAAAGATCCTGCCCAGGGGCCAGTGTGGTGGTGACACCTGTCATCCCATTTCTCTGCAGACTGCTGTGGTCTATAATTGGAAAACTGGACACGTGGTGAAAAGGTTCAGAGGACACGAGCGGGAAATCACTAAGGTAACTGTCAAGTGCTTATTCTGAAGGGAATTGGGGAGTGAAAAAGACTCATCAATAGCTGTAGATATTAGAGGGCTTGTATGTGTAGTCTAAAGGAAAAAATGTAAAGGCCTCCTTTGATGCCAGAAAGAGCATGGAAATCATCTAAATACCTTCCAGAGGTGTAAGCACATGCCACAGTCCACATAGAGCAAATATTATAAGCCACCCAGTCTTTAGTGTTTTGTTAGAAAGGCTTAAACTAATAGTTCAATGGTTTTCTTTTTTAAAGAATGTATCAAAGGCTATAAATAAGGAAACTAAATAAAACCTCTTTGGAATGTCTGAAACATCATAACTTTTTTTAGGGAATTATTTGTTAAGTCTTTTTTTCTTTTTCGTTTTTTGAGAGAGAGTTTCCTTGTGTAGCTCTGGCTGTCCTGGAACTCACTCTGTAGATCAGGGTGGCCTCAAACTCACAGAAATTATCCCTGCTTCTACCTCCCAAGTGCTGAGATAAAGGTGTACACCACTACCATCCTGTTTATTCGGTCTTACAAAGAACAAAAGGGGGTGGAAAGGTGGTTCAGCAGTTAAGATCGCTGGCTGCTCTTCTAGAAGAACTGGGCTCAGTTCCCAGCACCCACATAATGCTTATAACCATCTGTAACTCAAGTTTGGGCTTCCAAGGGCACTGGGCACAAAAGTGGCGCAGACACACGTGTCGATACGCCTCACTCATGTGCAGAAAGTAGTAACGGTAAAGACATTTAAAACTGTTTTAAGGAATGAAGTTCTGGGGTTGGGGGCACAGCTCCATAAAGCCTAGCATGGGGAAGCCCTGGACTGGATCTAGTACTGAAAAGAGAAGCGATACTCTGATACGTGTGTCAACAAGGGCAAATGTTGGAAGCATGTTTAGTGAAAGCAGCTAGACAAAAGAACAGTGTGGCTTCACTGGTGAGACAGCGGTGATCAGGGGCTAGAGAGGGGAGAATGGCAGAGTTGCACTTTGAGGTGATGAAAGTTCTACAGTTGGAGATTGTGGAAGTTTGTACAACAGTTTGTACAATTTGCTGTACACTGAGCTGTATACTTAAAATGGTTAAAGTGGTCATTTCTGTCACATAGACACACACAGAGAAAAAAAATTTTAAAGAAAAATTAAAGCTGTGCATGTGGAGTATACAAAGCCATCTTCTACTTTAAAGTTCTGCCTAGCATGCACACCTGAGTGAATTCTGTTTTTATTTGTTCTCTGAGCAGTTAGCCTGTATTCCCAAATCAAACCAGTTCTTCAGTGCCTCTCGAGACAAGACAGTCATGATGTGGGACCTGCAGGATTCCTCACAGCCCAGACAGCAGCTGTCTGGCCACGCCATGGTGGTCACTGGCTTAGCTGTGAGTCCAGGTAAAGTGAAGCAGAGCTCTTGCCAGCACCTAGATGCATTCCCAGGCCGCATGTTGATTTCCCAGCTCATGGCCATTGTGTCTTCTCACCATTGTTTTTAAAGACTCATCACAGCTGTGCTCTGGCTCTCGAGACAACAGCCTGCTTCTGTGGGATGTGGGCACCGGACAGTGTGTGGAGAGAGCGTCTGTCTCCAGGAACCTGGTACAAATTGAGACTTGGTGTAGAACAGGGTGTTGGGAAGAAGCACGGGGTGAGGGAAGCGTGCTGGAGGCTCAGCTCATAGCAGAACTGTGCTTGGCAGGAGGGACCTTGGGCTCAGCTGAGAGGGAAGAGGGGAGGAAAGAGAAGTAAAAAGTTTTTATCTTCATTCATTCCTTCAAGGCCCACTTTTAGCATAACTCTAGTGGACCACGCACTGCTAGGAATAGAAATATAACAAGTGACATGGTGTTATCTCTTGCAGGAGCTCACAACTTTTGTGTACAGAATTTGATACAGGATGGCTGTCTCATGCAGAGAAATGAGTGGTGCTCTTAGCTTGATGTAGCTCACTTTGTGGCAGCTGACTACTGCAGACTTCACACAGGCTTTGGGCTCTGTCCCAGCTGCCTTCCAAACTTGTATTTGTGTAGGATTTTTTTTCCTTTCCTTTTTCTCATGCTGGGGATTGAATGCTGAACCTGTGTTTGCAAAGCAAACATTTTGCCTTTAACCTACACCCCAGCTCTGCCTTCAAGCCACATATCTATCACTTATTAGTTGCGAGTGCTATAGTGTGCTAATTAAGCTTAAGTTCTAAATAGCTCCATTTATAAAATGGGGAGTTATGTCACTAGGCCAGAGTCTTTGGGTGATTAAATGAGATAACGTATAACATAAAACACCTGTTATTGTGGTTGGCGCACGGCAGCTGTTCCTTGGAGTTTGGTTTTAAATTCAGCTGCAGACAGTAGGACGTGCTTGCCTAATGCCCTTCGTATTTGTGAGAGCACTGCTGAGAAAAGGAAAACTCTGTTGCCCTGGGTTGTTTTGGAAATTGTTTCTGCTGTTCAGCCAGGGCTCGGGGCCAGGACTACTTTTTTTCTTATGAGCCTCTGTGGTGTTACAGCAGAGTTCAGGGTCCCCACTTAGCACAGGGGGCTGCTCTTCTGGCTGTAGATTGGGGTTCAGGTCTCCAGAGTAACCACAAGGCCAGAGATACAGATAAAGGACTGAGGGCTGTGAGACATTGACCCTGCTAACCTGCGCTCACTAGCTCAGAATCCTTGAGGGGATGAGGTTAGCTAACTAATAGAATTGCAGTGGAGATATGACCTGCCATGCAGACTTGCTAATGATTGTTTTCTCCAGGTCACCCACCTGTGCTGGGTCCCCAGAGAACCATATGTAGTCCAGACCTCTGAGGATAAGACCATCAGGTGGGCTACTGAGCCGCTGTGGAGGTGTTTCTGGTGAAGGTCTGTGGCTCCCGTGCTTACATGACTCTTCCTCCATTCTGCTTCTCCATGCCACTATGCCCATCCTTAGGGCTCTCTTTCCCCTCACTCCTAGCTGCCACTGGGGACTCTCTGACCTGGAGCTTATGGGAACAGACTGAATGCCCAAGATGAGGTCAGGCGAGGTCCAGCTCTGAGTGGTTTGAGCACCTGACCTTGCTAGTGTCCACTGTGTGGCCATCAGCCTCAGCCTCACCCAGCCTTCAGGCAGCCTGGCCCTCAGCCACAGCCTTGTAGGAAAGCAGGATAAAAATCTACATCAGATAGTCAGTAGTTCACAAACTGGGGCGCATGACTTAAAATACTGCCTCTCGGAAGAGACTTTTCCTATAAAGTGGGAGGGCTGAGATAAGGAGGAAACAGTGAGATGAGAGGGTACACAAAACTGCACGGGACCAAAAGGCCAAGGCTGACCATGGCCAGCCATAGCCCAGATGTGGTTCGAGAATGGTGATGGCATTAGCAAGTGTCCTTTAGCTGTGGCAGCAGATCTGGACTGCGGTGTCTCAGCTCTTAGGAGGCTGAGAAGTATTACAGTTTGGATAACATAGCAAGACGTGCTTCAAAACAACAACATAGCTTTAATTTTTTTGTAGACACAAAAATAGCCTCTTTTCCATTGAAAACAGTGTCCTAAAGGATCAAATTAACTTGCACAGTTAAGATGTGTATTCTAGCGGATGGTGGTGTCACACACCTTTAATTTCAGTACTCAGGAGGCAGAGGCAGGTGGATTCTCTGGGTTCTAGTCCAGCCTGGTCTACAGATTGAGTTCCAGGACAGCCAGGGCTACACAGGGAAACCCCGTTTCAAAAAACTAACAACAACAACAAAAAAGATGTTTGTTCTAAAGTCTCCATGAAAGGTGGTGAGATTGCTCAGCAGATAAAGGCACTGACACCAAGCCTGACAGCCTGAGTTCAGTCCCTGGGACCCACACAAGCTGTGTGTGCAGCTCCTCTCCCCAGATAAAGAAATACCATTCAAAAAAAAAGTCCATATGACTTTCAAAATTGAAAGACTCAAGATGGCATTGATTTGATCACTTCCTTCAGCTGTGGAGTTGTCAGGCTCTGACATGCGGTTCTGACTGGCAGCAAAGATTCAAGCTTTTCCTGTTATCGGGTGTGTTTTAGTGCCACTTACTACAAAGTCACTTCTGCTTCTAATTCCTTGCAGACTCTGGGATAGCCGGGGGCTTCAGATGGCTCATGCGTTCCCCACAAAACAGCACATCCAGACCCACTGTGATGTCAGCGTGGATGGGCGCACGTGCATCTCCTGCAGCAGCGGCTTTGCCGGGGAAGGCTGTGAGGCCACGGTGAGCGGCCAGGCCAGTCGTCTGCTCACTGACGGGCAGGCTGTTCAGCTCTCACTCCCCTCACTGGGCTACACACACAGGCTCTGCAATAGCTTCAGGTGCAAACTGTCCCCCAGCCTGTGCATTCTGGTGGCTTCCTTTAAGAAACATCTATTAATCTGGGTCTGCCTGAATTGCTAATAGGCAAGAGGAACAGGATGGAAATCAAGATAGAGAAGGGCTAAATAGAGCAGCCTGCTGATGTTCTTGTTCCATGTGAAGCCTAAACAGGTAGGGACTGCTTGAAGAGCCAGATTTGGGGTCTTTGGGTCTTTCCTTTAGCTGTGCTAAAGGAAGCTCAGCTCATTAGGGGAATGTGGAGCTCCACAATTGGTCCAGGGTTCACCCCACCCTTATCTGGATGTACACTTCCTTCCAGTAATTGCAGGGTACACTCTTTAGGTCTCTCCAAAGTTCTAGGCCCATAATTTCAGATTATCAGTTAAAAGGATGATCTAGCTTCCAAATGAAAGAGTTGTATTTCAGACATGAATGCCATGCCATGCATTGAAATAAGTATGCATGGTTTCATTTAATCCCTAAGCAAGTTGGTGAGTTCAGTGCTGTTTTAATACCTACTTTTTTTTTACAGTTGAGGGAATGGAGACATGGCAAGTTGAAATCTCCTACTAAGGACATGCTCTTAGAAGGGGTGGATTAGGGTGTTGCAAGCTTTGGATGTAGCATCTCTTATCCTGGCTGATGGATGACGGGGTCTCCCGGGCCCCCACTGTTGGCTGATGGATGACAGGGTATCTTGGGCTTCTACTGATTTTGGGCACTTCAGTTTTCTCTCATTTCTGAATGGCACCTGGCAGGTGTGGTCTGATCTGTGTCAGTACAAATGGGGCTAAGAGGGCTGTCTCTTCCTTTGTCAACTAGGCATGACCTCAGAGTGTCTGCATCTGTATGCACACATGAGAAGGTGCCCCTTACTGTGGGGTCCCCGGAGCCATAGCTAGTGCTGTTTGAGACATAGTTGATGCTGCATGGCCACTGGGTGAATGGGTGGTTGGCTACGTAGTCGATATAAGGGGTTCCTCTGGCTTTCTGGATCCAGGAGTGGAGGGGATCAGTGGGTCATGTTGCATGGGAGGGTGGGTATCGGCGATACATGAACATCTGTATGTATAAGCTGGCTGGTGTCATTACTTTGCAGTTGTGGGACCTACGGCAGACGAGAGACAGAATGTGTGAGTATAAGGGGCATTTCCAGACAGTTGCATCCTGTGTCTTTCTACCAAAATCCATGGCCTTGATGCCTATGATTGCTACCTCTGCACATGACTCTAAGGTGAAGATTTGGAACCAAGATACTGGAGGTAAGCAGTCTGCTCTCAGTGCTTCTCAAAAGCTGAATGCAGTCTTAAGATTTTGCATTGCTCACCGTATGCAAAGCCACCCATGTCCTGTCACCTTACAGTCCCCTGTGGTTAAGAGGTGAGACACCAAGGTTCAACCTCTGGCTGTAAGGCAGCTCCGAGCTTCCCTCATACCATGATGTACAGAGATATTTATTCCTAAAGACTCCAGAGAGAACATGTTTGGCGCTTACATTCTTTCCACATGAAGTTTCTTGTCAGATTTTTACTTATGACACTCAAAATGTCTGAAAAAGAGAAAAAGAAATGCTACTTTTGAGTTATTACTTCAAGGATGCACTTAGAACCTCACCTCTTGTTGGGACTGTGATCAAACAAGAAAGGACTGAGAAAAGCTCCAGCTGTTGGCACTTGAAGCTGTGTTTGAGATCACAGTAAAGTCAAGTCCCCCAGCACCAGAGAAGAACAGTGGCTTGTGGACCATAGCTTCCCAGCTATGTGTGCAGAGCTGTAGAGATCAAATAGTAGATACCTAGAAATCTGAGTCATGGTTTAAACTTTGGATAGCATGGAATTCAGTCATGGTAGTACATTTATACCATGGAGATTAAGGAGTGCTGTGAGGAAGTGTTGGGTTTTCTTCTTTTGGAAGTCTGGCTTCCCATCACTGACTCTGTGCAGTTTTATCTGGACATAGGATTTGGCGAGAGATAAAAACAGGGTTAATCTGGGTTAATTTAGAGAACTTCAAAAGCTTCCCACGGTCACTGTCCAGAAACTCAGTTTCCCTCAGGGAGAGATAGCTCCCCTCTCAGAGAAAAGAGGGGAGCATATCTAATATTCTGTAAACAGCCGTGGCCTCTCCTGTGGCCCACATCAGTGTCTTTGTTTCCTCTGACTTACCCTGTTTTGTTCTCTATCCCTTCTACCTATGGCCCTAGGTGTCTTTAATGCTGCTTGGTAGCCTACGTCCTGCTGGGTCTGGGTTCCATTCTCCTCAGCTGAGGTCATGGAAGTGACTCTGAGTCTTCCCAGTGAGGGGCACTGTGCCTTGTTGAGAGGCAGAACCCTCTAATAGCTTAGATGGTACAGGGCATGCTCTGTTTCCTGTTCTCACGAGAGCCCCAACTGCATAATGATGTTTAGTGAACAGCAGGCCACATCCAATAGTCTAGATGTGCTGAAGGAGGCTGCACTATCCACATGTGCCTATGAACACTCCATGATTACGGAGTGGCAGAACTGCCTAATGATGCATTTCTCAAACATGTTTCCGTCATAAAGCATATGACCGGTTTTCCTTCCTTCTCCAGCCTGCCTTTTCACCTTGTCTCTGGATGGATCAGGACCCTTGACCTCACTGGCTGTTGGTGACATCACCTCCTTGTTATGTGCAAGTTTCTACAGAGGAGTTCACTTACTGAAAGTAGAGCACAGCCAAGGGCTGGAACTACAGGAAGTGGCAGCCTTCTGAAGCCAAGAGACATTGAGTGGACAATATCAAACAATGACCCCTCCTTTCTGTGTTAGTAGTTGTTTTAAGTCCAATGATTCAAAAACCCAGGGTGTCTGTTTTGTTTGTTTGCTTATTTCTCTGTACCAGGTCTTACTCTGTAGTCCAGGCTGGCCTTGAACTCATAACAATTCTGCCTCAGTCTCCTGACTGCTGGAATTATAGGTGTGAGCCAGCATTCTCAGGAAAACTGATACTTAGAAACATGGAAAAGAGCTGGAGAGGTGGCTCAGCAGCTAAGAGCACTGGCTGCTCTTCCAGAGGTCCTGAGTTCAATATTCCCAGCAACCACGTGGTGGCTCACAACTATCTATAATGGGAGCTGATGCTCTCTTCTGGTGTTCATGAAGACAGAACACTCATGTATATAAAATACATAAGTAAATAAATCTTAAAAAAAAAAAAAAAAAAAAAGGACCAGCTGGGTGTGGTGGTGTACCCCTTTAATCCTAGCACTCAGAGGCAGAGGCAAGTGGATCTCTGAGTTTGAGGCCAGCCTGGTCTCAGAGTAAGCTCCAGGATCCAGGACAGCCAAGGCTACACAGAGAAACCCTGCCTTGAAAAAACAAAAAACAAAAAACAAAAAAAAAAAAAAAAAGAAGAAGAAGAAAGAAAGAAGACTAAATATAAGGCAAATCCAAATGGAATATCTAATGAGCTTTGGGGCTGCTCTTCAAAGTGAATGTATTTATTGCTTAAGAAAATAACTTGGAGTCATAAGAGCCTCTGAGGATGAAAACATGTGCTAGGGGCATGACTCCATGTCCCCATGAAGGAGACACATCAAGCTGGGTAAGAATAGTGGCATTTATAGAGAAAGGAGATGATGGGCAATGACATTAAGCTCGGTCAGCCCAAAGCCCCTTAGGGGGAGCGGGCAACACAGCAAGAGGCAGGAACTTCCTGCCATCTACCTTTCTGGGGCAGTGCTGCCGAGAGGCCTGCAAATAAGCACAAGAACCCTGCCCTGAATTGCAGAAATTACTAGGCCTCCCCCATGTATCAAGAGCAGAGGCAGGTAGAGGGCTAGAGAGATGGCCCAGTGCTTAAGAGCACTGTCTGTCCTTCCAAAGGACCTGGGTTCAAATCCCAGTTTCCACATGGCAGCTCACAACTGTATGTAACCCCCAACTCCAAGGGATCTGACTCCTTTACACTAATTTTTTTTTTTTTAAGTAGAGGGGATCAAGAGACTAAGGCTAAGAAATAAATGTGCATTTTAATTTGATTTTCATTTATATAAAACACTACAGCATGTACTCTCTCTACCTCCCGCCCCCTGGGGATGGCCAGAGGCAAAGGAGCCATCTCTGGAGTAGAGAGCCGGAAGGATGGAGGCCACTGAGCACCCTCAGCAAGAAGGGTTGAGTTGCTTACGTCATGCTGTGTGGCCCCAACAAGTCTGTTCTTAGCCAGGAGCCCAGAAGCCCATTTTCCTCACTGGAAAATGGAGCCTTTCTTGCTTTTAGATGAGTCCTAAGGTAAGGCAGCTGAGGCCCGGCTAGAGAATGGCTGCATTTATAGCTGCTGGTCTGTCTGTCCATGGTTCAGGGGTTGCCCACCATTTCTTCTCCCTCCTGCTGTCTCCAGGGTCAGGAGGAAAGTGTGTTCTTGGGGCTCGGAGAGTCTGGCCCGAGTGAAAATTCCATGGAGTTAACTTTGAGAAAGTTATCCAGTCTTGGCTTCCTCGTGGGTAATAGGCTGCTCATGGCCATACCTCCCTCACAGGGCTGTTCTGAGGCAAGCTGGAACTACAGCAAACAGCAGGCAAGGGAGCCACTCAGTATCTTGTCTGGACTGAATACTCAGTGTTTATTATTCCCACAATAAACACTTACCATTCATCTGTTGTCAGATCTTATTTTCTAAACTTTTGGCCTTTCAATTTCTTAATGTATGGGTCTTTGTACTCTGGGAGGAGCAGTAGACAGTGTGAGAAGAAACTACTTCATTGGGCACCTATAGTGGGCTAAGTAGATTCTCACTAAAAGTCTCAATGATGTTCTCATTTCACAGATGGGAAAGCCAAGGCCCAGAGGCCTGCGTTACTTGGCTTATAGTTATGAACATAGGAAGGGAAGGGCTGAGACTGGACTCTGGGTCTGTCAGACTTGGAGTCTTCCTCTGCAGCCTTTCGCCTTTGCTGTTGTAGATATTCATAGACCATGACCTTGCTTTTTTTTTTTTTTTTTTGAGACTAGTTTTTAATTTAGTTCTGGAGACTCGGGATGCCATTTCTGCAGGCCAGGAACTCTGCCACTGAGCTGTCCCTTAGCCCTTAGTTAACTTTTGGCTCTAGGGAAATCCTTCCGGTGGGTACCTGGGGGCTGTGGACAGTTCTCTTGGGACAGGCAAAAGCCCAGAATGTGCTGGCTGCGTACTGCTGTGGCTGACAGCTCCTTAGAGAAGGAGACAGTAAGTAAAATAAGTAAAGGAGTAGGGAGGGAGAGGATCCTGGTGACATGAAGGGTTCTGACACTCCTGCTCCTTCCTGGACTCTGCCGTGTGCTTGGTGCCTGAGAAGCAGATGAGCAAGAGCAAGTGCTTGTGTTCATGGAGTCTTTCCACAGTTACTACAGAGCCGGGTGTGCCAGCACACGCCTTTGAGCCCAACACTCAAGGAGGCAGAGGCAAGCAGATCTCTGTGAGTTTGAGGCCAGCCTGGTCTATGAAGTAAGTTCCAGGACAGCAGGGCTGCACAGAGAAACCCTGTCTCAAAAAAAAAAAAAAAAGTTATTGTACGCCCTAAGCATACTTTTAGTGTCCAATCTTCTGGCTGCTGAAGTCATGAACTCTTTATTTTAGAACTGCCCTCTACTTCTTACAAAGGAGCTTCTCCTGGCAGTTACCTTTTTTCCTTCCAGGAATGTCAGCCCTTGCAGTCTTGTCAATTATATATTTACATTTTAAACATTTATAGATTAACATTTATCATGAGGATAAATATAAACAGAAAAGTTGGTGGTGATTATTAATGGTCTTCACTTGGGGGTCATCAGCAAAGTACAGAGTTCAGGTTTCTTGGAGAGTGTCATCCTTTGGCACTGAGAAGAAGGGCTTTGGGCACTTCTGAGTGGCCTCTTGAAACCAATTACTAAAGAGCAGCTTCATCGTTAAGCTCGAGAGCCAGCTGCTGTGGTCTGCTTGTGTTCCAGCTTTTGAAAGAACAGGAGGCTCAGGAGTCCACCATCATCCTCACCTTTATGGTGAGGTCAAGGCCAAGTGAGGCCCCCAATGCCCTGCCACCTGCCAAATAACAAAAACAAAGCCAAAGATCTAGTGTTTTTTCAAAGTTGGTACATTTCGGCATGGGTTGCCCAGCTAAGTCTACATTCTAGCCAGGCATGCCAGGGGAATGTCAAGGGAATGGGGCCCATTACTTTCACCCAAGTGGCTTGAAAGGAGCGTGAGTGTGAGGGCCCAGGGCACCCCTCAGGCCCGTCCCTGCTAGCGGAGTCCAGTGACGGCTTCAGCCGCAGAGGTCGGTGATGGGGTAGCAGGGCAGAGAGGAGCCAGCGCCTGTGTCACCTTGACGAGCTGCTCTGCCAGCCTGTCTGTCTACACTGTTGGTAGAGAAGAAGAGCCTCTTTAGTCTACTGTATAATCGAGGCTCAGTCAGCCGTATGAAAAATTTCAACTGTCCAAGCTTAAAGCTTTAAAAAATTTGAAAATTGAAAAACCTCTAGAAACCAAGACCTGACTGCAGATGTGTGCAGGACTGGGACCAGTAGGCTGCTGTGTCCAGATCGAGTCGGGCAGACCTAGAATCAAATCTCAGACCTTCCCCTTCCTATGTTTGCGACTGTGGGCAGAGTGCTTCGTGTCTCCGGGCCTCAGCGTTTCCAACTGTGAAGTGGGAACATGACTGGGAGTTTTAGAATATGGCTCCAGCTATGCAGCAGCGCTTTCACCCTCATGGATCTCCGCGCCGAGAGGTAGAGAAGGCGGTCTAGACTGCAAGGAAGAGGCTCCTCACCGCAGGAAGGAGCTCTTAGGAATGACATCACCATGGGCCTCCAAGCCCAGCCAACCTCGGCCCCACAAAGCCTGGTACACAAACTCAGAAGGCAGCCCGTGATTCGTGAGCAATAACAAACTGCTCTTGCTTTAAGACGTATTTTGAGTGGTTTGCGATGCTGCGAGACTTCAGTGCGACAAGCACGCGCTGGTTGGCGGCACTGACACAACGACCACATGCAGCCGGCGCCACCCTCATTGTTAGGTAGGAGCCTACCGCATGGAGACTCTGATCTGTGCATGGAATTGGTACTCGGGGAGTTTCTACTCACATGGCACTGCTCCTGGCACATTCTCATAACGTCCTCTGGCGAACAGAGGCATGTGTTTGTGCCCATCCTATGACAAGCAAGAACTTGCTGGACTGCGGAGTTCATGCCACCAGCTTTAGTGGATACTGCCAGACATTTCCCCCAAAGAATTTGTGCCACTTTGCTCTCAAGCAAGTGTGCAAGAGTCAGAGTTCTGGCTCTTCACCCTTGGTGCTTTTGAACTTTAAAACCCTCCATTGTGAAAATAAGAGTCCTGATGCTAGAGTATGCTCCACAGGGGCTGGAGAAACAGGCTGGACCAGCCAGCTTCGCCATCCACTCTCGTCCTTACCATCTCCAGCCAAGAGGTCAGAGTTTCATAATAAAACCCAATGTGTAGACAGCGCCCTGCAATTTTACTCTCTCATAGTCACAATCTTCATTTTTGTCTTCGAAGAAAATAACTCAGGGGGCTAGAGAGATGGCTCAGAGGTTAAGAGCATAGGCTGCTCTTCTAGAGGTCCTGAGTTCATTCCCCAGCAACCTCATGGTGGCTCACAACCATCTATGATGAGACCTAGTGCCTTCATCTGGCATGTAGGCATGCAACCAGGCAGAACACTGTATACATAATAAATAAATTAAAAAAGAAAAGAAAAGAACTCCAAGGTAGCTGGAATGGAGATTAGTATCCCCATTCTATAGAAGAGTGACTCTCCCAAGGTCTAAGAGCATGTGGCAGGTACAGACAGTAGCTTACTCCTTGTACACACAGGTTGGTTTTTCCTGGCAAGACCCTCTGCTTTTAGTGGTTTTATCATAGTTTTGAGTAAAGGCTGAGGGCTGGAGACCAGAAGGAAGTGTTTGCACCTGTGGAAATGAGTGACATTAAGTCTAAACATTACACCCAGAACACCCAATTCATCCCCTATGTTCTTTCTTCCAGACCGGGAACACAGCAACCTGCCAGTTCTAAGTCCTGCACACAGACAACTGAAAAGCCCAGCCTTGGGTGGTGGAGTGGAGCCGCCTGGCACTGCAGGTCCGGTGTGGCCCTCTGCCTCCACTTCGTCTTTTAGTAATTTGCTGGCTTCTTGTGACTGAGACTCATGCAGATGGTGCCTATGCTTCCCTCTAAAACAGACAACAGACATCACACATAGCAACACTCCACCGCGGAAAAAAGAAATCCATGATCTGCACATAGCTAAAGACATGGAAGAAAGAGCAAACGTGCCGCTAACCAGGCTGGAGAGATTGTTCAGTTAGGAGCACTTGCTGCTCTCCTAAACGTCCCAGGGTTAGTTCCCAGCATTTACGTCAGGCAGCTCACCCCTGCCTGTAACTCCAGAATCATGGAACCTGATGCGCGCTCTGGTCCCCATGGACAGCTGCACTCGGGTGCACACAAGGCCACTTACACTCACACCACACACACACTTAAAACAGAGAACCTGCCTGGTGTGATTCATGCCTTTAATCCCAGCAAGTAGCTCTCTGTGTTCGAGGCTAGCCTGGTCTACACAGTGAGTTCTAGGACAACTGGGATTATGTAGAGAGGCTTTGTCTCAAAAAGTTAAAATAAAATCCTTAGACTCTACTGACTGTGGCTTATCTAGGTACTGAGTATAAAGCTGAGCTCACCCACTCTCTTCTGCACCCCCCTCCCCACTAACCTTCTCTCTCTTACCAAAGATTAAAGGGTTGCTGGAAGGGAGGTAGAGGCTTAAATACCTCAAATAAAATGGTGTTTAAAACGAGCACAAAAGTGAAGGTGTTTTTTTTTGTTTGTTTCTTAGACATAGCTTTTACAGTGAAGAGACTGACTGAATGGGACAGTATGGAAAGACTAAGCCAAATCAAGACCTTTGTTGTTTTGTTTTGTTTTGTTTTGTTTTTAAGGTGAACAAACATTTTGTTTGCATGTATGTGAGTGCCCTGCAATCATGCAGCACCCACAGAGGCCAGAAGGGGGTGTCAGATCCCTTGAGCTGGAGTTACAATAGTTGTGAACTAAACACCAAGCCTCCTGGAGGAGCACCAGCACTCTTAAAAGCAAGGCCTTTGTTTTTAAAGTAAAAGCTTTCTAGCCTGCATGATTTTATGCTATAGAAAGATGGCAAAGTGTGTGTGTGGTGGGGAGGACACTACCAAATGGTGCACAGAGGTCAGCACAACAATTCATGAAATGTATTCTATATGTAGAATACAAGGAAAAGAGAGCAATGTGCACACCCCAGATGTGTCATGACTAGCTCTGCATGTAGCATTTGGGGTGAGCTTATGTCCTTCGTCCAGAGGCAATGTGTCTTTGATAGTCGATAATCTGTGTATCAATGTCCTAGTCTACAAATGGAAAACATGGTGATAGGGCCAAGTTCTGTCATTTGGCCAAGTTCTGAAATTTGCTGATCCTGGAGAATGTGCCGGTCATTGTTCTTAATTGTCAACAATTATAGTCACCTGAGTTTTATAAATTTCTGTCCTTGATGTATCTTATAACAAAAGTTAGGCTTCAGTGATAGGGGGATGACTGGGAGAGGGGGTGTTTGGCCATA